GTCCAAAAGTGCTAATGTCAGATACTTAATTGAAATTTTGTTATAAATCCTAGTCGGCAATTCATCAGTCTGTTTCATAAGTTTTTCCATTATCTCATGTTTGTTGTACTGTCCAAAGGGAAGACATCAAGCTTTTGAATTTGTGGCCAAACCAAAAACATTACTTATCTCTGAATGTCTTTCAGTGCATTATCCATCATTTGTCTCATTAAAAAAAAAAAAAACAACTTTTCTGTTCCAAACCTATTTTTACTCTTAGTTTATCCTTAATGAACCCAATGCAATATTTTCATTGTTGTTTCTACGCCCAAGTGTTCTCACTTTCATACCTGCTCTTCGCTGTATGTCTAAATTTGGCATTGTATTTACATAGTGCTTTTTGTTGTTGTGAGGTATGCAAATGCTTGTTCAGAAAAAAACAGTTTGCCAGTAATATGTAAGTTTATGTTAAATTAAAAATATATTGCAACTAACACACTGTAAATATCCATCAGTTACTTGTCCAAGCAGAAAATACACCAATTTATTCAAATCAAAAGTGGAAATTATGAGGAATTACTATTTAAAATAACAGTGTAGAGTTAGAAACTTGAAAGAAACGTGAAACTTTTCTGAACCCTTCTTTTCATGTGTGCTGTGTACACACACGAATTAGGGCCCATCATGATGGTCAACTTCGAAGCTCCCTTGAAGTGAAACTCTCGTAACCGAACTAAATTTACCGCCACCGCCTACACCGATGTTGAAATTTTCATATCAGTTGGCAGCGCGGGTACCACCCCTTACTGAAGGCTGTGGCGAGGCTACAGTTTTGTTGTTGAGTGATTGATTTTGTGAGAACATTTGGCTTCAGTTTCCTTTTTTTCCGTGGATCAAGTCCGATAATAACCTCTGGTTAAGAGAATCTTCAAACACGGCGTATTGACTTAAGTTGTACCGAACCATTTCTCGTGGCGGACCAATTCGGCGTAAGCTCGGCTGAATTTTGGTGTGCACACCTAACCTCTAGTTCATTGATGCTTCTTGCATTTTAGATGTTTACATTAAACTTAACGAGAAGTTGTACTTTATCTAAACCATACATTTACATGTAGTTTGAGGCTATGCAGCTTGCAACATTCAAATGTGTTCTGGTATCCAAGATGTTTGAATGTGCACACGATTGTTACTGATAAGGTTGTTTTATGGTTTGGGCAAGGATTGGATGAAGTTAAATGTAACTAAGACCTATCATTGTGGGTCGTTAGGAAGCTTATTATTTCAGAACTTGAGACGTCATAAAGCCAAGTAAAGATCAATAGGCCATAATAAAAAATATATTCCAACACCTCTGAACACATTCAGTGACAAACAAAGCACACTTGTACGCTTGCACACTTAGCAACTTGTTTTCTTTTTTTTCAGGTCCACCATCCTTGCCTCTCTCACAGGCAGGTGTCTCAGTTTCCTCAAGACCACCTCTACTCCTGTTGGAGCAGTTTGATCAGCAGCGGCAGCTTCAGCAGCAGCGACAGCTTCAGCTTCAGCAGCAGCGGCAGCTTCTGCAACAGCTGTAAGAAATAGCAGGTGAGTGTCATGGTCTCTTTCATGACCCACTGCAGCACAATCTTTTTGCCGCTCACTACAGTATCAATGCAGCAAATTTTCTTACCTGTCCTTGCTTTTTCTTCTGCCCTCTTTATCTTCCTCTTCTGCATTTGCTTTGCATGTTGCCTTTTCTTCAACTTTGCCTTTCTGTTTGGTGTGGATTTAGCCATGTTTACTGGCTGACTGACAAAGTAGAACTGAGATAGCTGAAGGTAGAAAGTGGGGAGGGAAGGGAGGGAGGGGAGGGAGGGGAAGCTATTTGACAGTGTACTGTGAATACACAGCTAACATAAACAAAATTCAAAAATGCATCTCTAAAGAAAGCAGAATTACAAGGGATAATACACTTCTTGCCAAGAATGTGATAAGCATAATTATTAATAGAATTGTCTAAATATCTTTTTTTTTGTGTGTGTCTGTTTCAGAAAGCTGCTGAATTTGAATGGATTCTCATGTCAACATACAGGGAGGATCCTTTATTGGATTCAACTCGAGTCAAGCGGGATAGGAGGATTCCAATCTCAACCTGTCTGTCAAGTCTTACGTCATCAACTCATTGCCAACTACTTGATTCTACTCACCAATGGATTATTCTCATTGCTGTCAGGTAATAGTGAGTGATGCATGTTATTGTAGGTGAATGTATGATTCAGGAGATAATATTTTATTGTGTGAACCAGTTCCAGTTACCTAATAGTTGTGTTGTAGCTCATGTTGTCATCGTCTTTGTTAAACATTAAAGGTACCATTTGGTACTCGTAATTGTTATTAAATTTATTTCTTGCGATTGATTTAAAAGTGTCACGTTATTCTCACTTTTAGTTTTAACCATGCAGTGTTTGTTACTGCTTTGATAGATTCTGCTTTAGACTCTGAGATATTTAATAACTTTTAGTGTTCAGCATTCTCACTACGTTTGCGGGCAATTTCAACTTTCTGAGATTATTTTAAAGCCTACATAATAAGCCTATTTTCTTTAAGAGGCTCTTAAGAAAATAATCCAGCACACTTTAATCCAAGAAACCAGATTTGAACTCAGTAGAATTAAGTTTGGTAATTATCCTACGATTCGTATTTATTTTGTTGTCCTACTTTAAACTGAGCAAAGTTTTCTGAGTCTGTGTTTGCGGTCAAAGTAAATTATTAGTCCACTTAAACTGCAACTCCTGTAAGGGTAAAATTTTATTTTCAATCAAAATTTATTTGACTGTGACTACCGCAAAACCAGTCTAGAATGTTAGTGAAGCATTTAATCTTAGTTGAGACTGTGTCACTTGTTTTCAAAACTTGTGGTCTATGTAGAAATAAAATGACTATGAGTAGGAGTGTGTTTGTTTGAAGTATATTGGGCAATAGTGCCATTGGATATGTTATACAAACAAGCCTCAAATGGGTTGAACAAAGAACTAAAGAGAGGGATTTTTGATATTTTACAAGTAATGCAGTGTTTGGATATGAAGTATGTCCTGAAAGTGTATTACTCACCCTTTTTTGCTTTTATGTCAATCGGTTTTGAATCGTGGAAAAATGAGGAAGTAAGCAAACAATATAGTAGACAATGTTTTTAACAAAAAAAACCTAACAGACTTTGTTAAGTATAGATCTTATCAGTGAAGAACCTTTAGAGTAGTGTTTAGGGAGCTTGGAGTATTGTCACTCACATCTTTATATATCTATACTGTGTGGGTAACAGTCCCAAATTCGTAATCCTGTCCAAACATTCTCAAGAGAAGAGGGAATGACTTAAAGAAAGTGAAGGGTAGTATAAAGTTGCCATTGACACATATGGCAAAGCTCTCTAATGTTTTGCCAAAAAAACTGAAAGACAAACTCAAGAGCTTCCAAACAAAATTGAAAAAAACATTAGAAAAAATAATACATTTCCGAATGAACTGAAAGACAAACTCAAGAGCTTCCAAACAAAATTGAAAAAAAAAATTGAAAAAATAATACATTTCCAAATGAACTGAAAGACGAACTCAAGAGCTTCCACAAAGAATTGAAAAAAGACTGAAAACAATAAATTCCCAAAAGAACTGAAAGACAAACTCAAAGACTCAAGAGCTTTAAAGAAGAAATGAGAATCAATTCAATCACTTGAGATCAAATAAATAATCTAACCCAATTAATATTAATTCCTAGGTTAACATAAAAGCCCTGCTGAGATTAGATTGATATTAATGGTCCATTATTTTTTCTTAGGTTGATTATGACGCTGTGCTGCTGCTGCCATTCTTGCCGGAGTCTTCCTGAGTTGCCTTCCATGTGCAGATGCTGTGCGGATTAAGAAAAGGTCAGTATCTGGAGTGTGAACTTAAAATCGAGTTTAATGCATGATGAACCAGTTTTAATTACCTTCCTGTTCCTTTTCATTCAACTTCTTCTTCTCTTCCAATCTCTTCTTCTGCCTTGCTGCTTTTTTCCTCTCAGCCTTCTTTTTCTTCGCTCTTTCTTTCATGTTTTCGGACTGAACTTGGCATTTACCTAAAAATGAAACAAACATTTCATGTATGAACAATTGTGTAAGACAATACAGAACTGATAATCATAAAGTGTTATGTTATAAAAACAATAGAGAGCAAAACCAAGACATTCCCTACTTTTCAACCTTTGCCCTAATGATTCCGGCCAGGACATCACCTCTCCCTTGAAATTACCTAAATACCATTGACCCTGACCTCCCTTTTCCCTCTAAGTTATGGTAATGGAACATACCTGCCCTCTGCCTCTGCCTCTTCAATCTTTGTGCTCGTTGCTTAGCATTCGAGTTGTCCATCAAACTCGGCTGACCATCAAACCCAGCCGTATCATAATTAAAGCGGGTATCCCCACTGTCCATGTCGTAATCCATTTCCTCTGTTTCATGCAATTCGTCATTCCTCTGCTTGTCATTTCTCTGCTTGTCATTTCTCTCCTCGTCATTTCTCTCCTCGTCATTCCTGTCCTCATCATTCCTCTCCCCTTCTCCTTCTCCTTCTCCTTCTCCTTCTCCTTCTCCTTCTCCTTCCTCTTCTTCTTCTTCTTCTTCCTCTTCCTCTTCCTCTTCCTCTTCCTCTTCCTCTTCCTCTTCCCCTTCCTCTTCCTCTTCCTCTTCACTGTCCTCTCCATCAATTGGCCCCTGTCCATACTCTCTTTCTTCCAAATCACTCAAATGTTCAGGATCATCTTCATCTTCATCTTCATCTTCTTCCACTTGAATAGGACTGAAAAGAAAGATAAAGTAATGAAGCATTATCCAATTGTTTTACTCATATATTCAAGGAATGTAGGTAGCATGTGAGCACTTACTTGATTGGATCATCATCGGGAGTCAATTTCAGAGCCATGAAATCATTTTTCAAGGAACCTTGTGCATGCATCAGGAAAGTGCCTACATCATCTGTCCTCATAAAGGTAGCCTTCTGTCTCAATATGTCAAGGTCCATTTCCACTTGGCGTTGGGTTCTTTTTTGAGTTCTTGAACTGTGATATGATTTTCCTGTTCTTAACACTGTGTTATATTTCTCCCACGTTTCTTGTTCCAAGTTCGAAATAATTTCTGTAAGAGAATTGAGAAATGTAGATTTAACTGGGCAGTAGCGCCATTGACACAATTGGCTCTCAAAATTTGATAATGGTTTTTTTGTTACAGGTTGAAGAAGCACTCACCTCTAAATTTCCAGAAAGTTGGATGAGCATCCTCAACAGCAGCGTTTATTCGTCTATTGATGCTTTCAAGACCGGATGTGGCTGCGATGTGCTTGCCATCAACGGAAACTGCATCAACGTCTGGACGAATGATCCACTCTTTCCGTACGTAGTCCAAAAATTGCATGACCTTAAATTTAATTGGATCTGGAGTGACGTCATCTAGGTATTCTCTCACATATCTGTAACCAGCTTCCATTTTCTTTCCAGGGAGTCGAGGGAGGAGGCAGCACAGCCGCATTATCAAGGTTGCTCTGGCTTCATCGGTCCTTTCATATATTTCCCAGAGCTTCCCAAGACCCAGCGACTTGGCTTTCCGGTGGAGACACTGAAGAAAACAAGAATGATAAAAGAAAATAGCCACAATCTAGTTGTTTTAAATAAACTGTATGGTATGAAAATTGAGTGTAAATGGGAGCAGAGCCAGAATAATTGACTGTAGAGGACTTAGCCCAGACAAAATAAGATGAAAAGAAGAAGTTTCTTCACTGAGAAAACCTTACAAACTATTTCAGGCCTTACAAAGCAAAGCAGTTTGTTATAACAAAGTATTTTAAGCATACCTAAGCCTTCAAAGAAAATACTTCGTAATTTATGAACTATTTCTTCGTTCAACAAAGCAAATTTGTTTGTACTTATGTATGCTCAAAATACTTTGTAAGGTTTTAAGGGTGTTCATGATCGTAGCAATTGTATGCTGCCAGGCCTCTCTTCATCTTCAGGCTAAGTCCTGTAATGAGAGTATTGGGAAGGTCTGAATTGGGGGTAGTGCTTTGGCTGATTCTGGATGATTACATCCGGTTGATCAGGGAGAAAAGATGATGATAAGCAGGAATTCTATCAAGGACAACTAGGGAAAGGGCTTTTTTTTCTAAAGTGGTTTAAAAGGCCAAAAGTACAGACTCTGGCTTGTGATGCTACATTCAAGGTAATCCCAAGAACATAAGAGGCCCTTCAGCTTCTCATTCTTGCAGTGTTTGCTTTTGGCCATGTTACAATTTTGATGAAGAAATCAAGTTTTAACTCACCCTTATGAAATGCCAGACACAGCCATCTAGTGTTATTCCAGGAAAGATCCTCCGGAAGGCAGACCTCTCCCCGTCCTCCCAGTCCGTTATGGCTCGCTGTGGTCTAAAGGGATGCATCTTGTTGTCTCTGAGTGTCCTCAGACATGCAGCATAGGCGTTGGATGTCTTGCTTGACATAACAAAATAAGCAAAGGGGAAAGCCTGATAAAAGAAAAACAATAATGTTGAGCGTGTCTCATCACACTAGCCACACAGTACTGTATATCTGTCTCTACTTACATGGCCGAAAGCAAACACTGCCAGAATTAAGAGTTGAACGGCACCCTGGATCTTGGGTGTAACTTTAAAAGTAGCATCCATGGCGACGGTGTCGGTGCTTTTCACCATCTTTAGACCACGTTTGGAGAAAAAAGCAAGGGAGGGCTTGTCACCACCCTCCCCTACTAGACCTTGGTATAGCTGCTCTTTGTCATCTTTTGTTCTTCCTAGTAATCCAAAAAAGGCTCATTAAATTAATTAATTTATACAATGCTGAATTAAGGGGGCACCCTGGTGAAAAAATTGCCAAAATTGCCAAATAGAGCATTTTTAAAATTCATAGACTAAAATGTGCATAAAAGGTATCAGATTCAACAGGTTGAACACCTTTCAGCTAAGTGGGCAGTTTACTTATCATTTGGAAAGAAAGTAAGTGGCACTTTTCTCATAGACATGTTTAGGATTTGAATTTTGTTTTGGGAACTCACTATATTGGACCTAATAATAAAGCAAAGTTTCAACTTTCTGAGAAAGTTTCACCAGAGTCCTCCCTCTTAAAGAAAATAATCCAGCACACTTTAATCCAAGAACTCACCAAGGTAAGAGTAGTCAGGATTTTCTAAATGGTCTGACGCTTCCTCAAAGCTTTTGGGTTTGTTTGGCCTCACTTTGCTTCTGTAGTAGTCTACTGATCTCTTGATACTTTTTAAAGAAAAGTATTTTTTAACTTGTGGGTCATTAATCCTGTTGGGAAAAAAATTAAGTCAGAACATGTGTGTCCAGTATTTATCCTCTTCTAAACATAGAGATACTATTTAAAAAAAAAGAGGAACCACACTGAGATTCCAAAGGCTATGAATCTAGCAGGTATGATGCAATGCACTGAGATAAAGCACCATGTAAGCAATGCCATAGCCATTTTGCGCCTTACGTTCAATGGGTTCTGAAAATGACTTATGTTAATGCATGGGAATGGGAAGGCATGCTAAAGCATTGCACCAATTAACGCTGTATTCATAGCATTTGGATTCTCAGTGTTTTGTTGTAATGCCGTCAAGAGTTATTTAGGTCTTGCCCTTTGTCAGCAACACTTTGACCTCATGTGTTCCATAGGTACACATGTCCAAAGGAAAGACCTATGAAGCTTTTGAATTTGTGGCTAAATAACAAAAAACATTGCTAGTACAAAACTACTTACTCAGCCAAAAAATTCTTGAAGATTCGTGTTAACGAATCACCTGTTTGTTTCAACAGTATAGTTAAGAGCTCTGCTCTTTTCGACAAATACTTCCCATAGCTGGGATTTGACGGGTGGTTATGTCTCTCAAACCCCACAGTAGCTTCCAGAGCGCCTTCTGACCCATATCTCCTTGCCCTTGCCTTGCAGCCCAGCTTCTTCTTTTCCACGCAGTGAAATGCCTCCAAGCCAGTGCTGCAGACCTTTTTTTCCATATGGAAATAATGGTCCCCCAGTTTGTATACCCTACCCTTCCTCTGCCCCTCAAAAACTGACACTCCACCGTCTTCCTCATCACTTAAAAAGCCATTCTCGTCCACATATAGTTCAACATCATCGTCAGAGTCCATGTCCACATTCACAGTCAACAGTTAGTGTCCACAGTCAATGTCAAACTGAATGATTTGACCTTGACAAAGGAAGGAGGCAGGGCTGGAGAGAGAGAAAGAGAGAGAGAAGAGGGGGGAGGAGGAGGCAGGGAGAAAGGGAGGTGGGGGAAAAATCATCATTTTCATTCTGGAGGGGAAGGATTCAAATCTTTTGTTTTTGTTGTGAATTTCATCTTTATACTGACTTCTACTGCACTCTAAAGTGGTGGCATTTTTGGTGAGCAATTATTCTGATGCTAGGATCATAATTGAATTCAGTATTTTAGGAATCTTTCCTTGTTTGTTTTGTTTGGCCATGATTAGGCTGATTTGATAATTGAATTCAGTATTTTAGGAATCTTTCATTGTTTGTTTTGTTTGGCCATGATTAGGCTGATTTTCTGCTTTTCATTTTTGTGCCCACTCTAAGATTTATGTATAGCTGTGCATGCTTGAGACTAGAACTTGGTTTAGTCTGATGGTGTAAGGATTAAGGATTATTCAATGTCCAAAGGATAACGAATAATAAATTTAAATTATTTTTATTCAACTTCAAATGTTGTGATCATTCCGATTCGTTAGCATCAGTAACACACAGCAACTTAGCGATAGAGACAACATTAAAAGAAACAGTTTGCTTACTTAACAGATAAACAGATCACTCCAGCTTTTAAAGTCAAGAAACAGGGGAAAATTCAAATAACATTTTTAGTCTAATTTATCTCTAGCCAAAAACATACAGCAAATACATAGGTTCCATGCAGGGTCAATACATTTGCATGTAATCATGTTAGCAACACAAAAAGCAGTTAATAAGTTACAAAACATGACTAACAACAGAGGAAAAATATAAGATATGCAGCATTTACAAAAAAAAGACAACACAAATCACAGAGCAATGTCAACATGTCAAGCATAAAAAGAAAAGGGAGAGCATTAGTTTTGGTAGTTGTACAGCAGAACGTGTTATCCTTTGTTGTACAATATTTTTTTTTCCATCTGACAAGCTATTTACATGATAATTTATTTAGTGCAAGGAGAACATGATGGGTGGAATTTGAAGTTTGTGAGCCGTGCTTGACGTTGGTTTCTTGCCAGGCCCAGCAGCAGGAGCCGCATCCTGGTGCAGCCCATGGTTAGTGCATGGCAGTCAGTTAATGTTGTTTGTTGTTGCCTCCTGCTCTCTTGGTGTCCTGGCTGATTCCCCCCTCTCCCTGCCCTGCACTGGTCCTCGGTCCTGCTGGGTTGTGCTTCTCTGCTGCCTACAGGGAAGCAAGCGTATTTACAAGCCATTCTATGAAGCGTAAAGCCACACCACGCAATGCTGCCCCCTCCCAAGATGGATTGCTTGGAAATTCCGACACAACAATGTGGGGCTATTGCCCACCTTGCCGCTCTTCCCCATTTCAAGCTTCCTTTCAATTTATAGAAGTAACAATTTTCCCCCCCGTAAATCTTATTCTTAATTGAGACAAAACAGTATCTTGGCTATATGGATTCAATGTGCATGATGAATTCAAAATACAATTGGATAACAACGATTTAGAATTAGATGACACAAGAAAATTTGTGGGCATTGAAATGAAGAGTAGATTAAAATGGGATACTCATACAGAAGGGCAGATGTATTTGCAATGTAACAGCTATTACAAAGCATCCACAAATCACATCTTATCTCCCATTTAAAAAAATTCAGAAAGTATTTTCCTGTTATAAAAAACAGCAGTGAGATTGATTATCAACAGTAACATAAGATAAAAATCTTCAGCAGTCTACCAAAAACAAGGATCTCATACCCAAAAAATGATTGACAGTACTAAAAAGGGACAAAAAGAAAAGAAAAGAACTATTATTTGTTAGATCCTCTAGTATTTCTATCCTCTATTATGCGATAATGTTGAAGACTAGAAGAAGAAAACATAGTGATATATGTTGTTAACTACTTTATGTTATTCTATTCTATTAATATTAAAGAAAAAAAATACATGTTTTTAACTTTATGTAGTCTAATGTATCTTGACAATGTTTAAAGGAAAGATTCTAAATACAATTGAGTACAATAACACTTTATAATTTCATGTTTAAATGTTTTAAGTGCAGTATGGAACTGATACAGAGAGTACAAAACACAATTTACAAATTCAATCCACACTTGTAGCTTTGCAGAACTCGGCCTTGAGGTGCTTCAGAATGTCAACTACGACAGGGACAGCCCAAGCATTTCCTAAAAGTCGCCTTCGATCTGATTGTGAAATGCCTACGTCAGTATAGTGGCGGCCCACACCAAATAGCTCTTCTATCTCTGTCAACAACAGAGGTGCTCTCTGGTTGCTCTCTATGACAGGCAATGATTTCTCTTTGCCTGTGAAAGTATTAAATAAACTGCATCAGGATTTAGATTTAAGAAACACATGGGGCTCTTTACCACAGCTACTTACCACAGAGCTGAGAGTGAAAAGTTGATGTCAATGTGGGCAGAAGAGGCACTCCTGCAGAGCGGTAAGGCATCAAGAAATCCTGTAAATTGGGATATTCCACTTGGCTCTTGGGCAAGTCGTGTAAGTGTGGGATATTACCCCACCAATACCGTTTCCTCTTCATTGCACTCCCATATCCTGACGCGCATCGCATTGCTGGCTGGGTCCCCAGGCACCTTGTCATCTCAACCAATGTTACGTTATCCATACAAAATGTGTTCTCAAATAGCCAAAAAAAATTTTCGTTCCTATCTTTAGCTAACTTGGCCAAGTGGTCTCTGATACGCACATATTCATAGAAAAGGCTTGCTGATGACCCAGGAGCTATAAAGTAAAGAAAATTAGTTTAGGAAAAGTACCAGGTAAATGGATATTACCGAAATAACAAGCTACAATGTTGAGATTTTAGTACCTTGCAAACCTTTCCTCAACGGATTAGCCCTGCTAATTTGTTGGCAAGGACTGCCACCCAATAACAAATTTATGTTATCTAGAGATTCCAGAGTGTCATTACTAATTGTAGTAACACAACCAATCATGGTTATTCTGCTGCTGTGATTAAACTTCAAAACCATATTGGCCTTTTCATCAACCTCACTCGAATAGTACTTCCTAACAGGTATGCCAATCGAGTCTAAAGCTAATATTGATGTTCCAATACCATCAAAGAGAGAAAGCATACATATTCCCTAAAATTAAAAAACAAACAAAAAAACTCGTCATTATAACAAAATATTTTTGTTAAAGTGCATTCTGAAACCAAAAAATACCTCATCAGCAGGCTTCGGTGGAAGTGGCGCAACATCAAATCCACAGAAGTCATCATCTCCTGCCACATCAGCACGACAGCTTGCAAATAGTTTCTTCTGGACAGACCAAGAACAGTCGCAAACAAACTAAGTATAACCAAGTACAACCAAAGGGTACTCTTTTCCCGTGCAAGGACGCACCGTTCCAGAGTAGCGAGGACATCCTTTTTTAGGAGCACACAATCTTCTTCTGTATCCTCGCTTGCGCTTCTTGTATTTCAAACCTTTTCTTGGCATTCTCAGAGGTTAGGTTCACAGGGCAATGCTTGTTGTGCAGTCAATCCCTCAAATATCTTCCGGATGATTCGAGACAGCTCACCTTAAATTCAAATAGGATATTAGAGTGTGGAAGAACACAATTTTACATGGTAAACACGTACACCGTGTGCATAAAAGTATTTTAAAATCCGTAACAATGACAATAGTCATTTAAAGCCTTTGCAATACTTGCACACATTACCTGGCGCAACTCGTTATTCAACTACTCCCCTTCAGACCAGTGTGAAGAAGGGTCTGCAATACAAATCAACCAGATCACTACACATTCGAAGGGAGTAAATGATCTGTAAAATACGTCAACAAGGAGTCATTCAGCAATCATTACCCGAATGCGAAATTTTTCATATCCGTTCATATTCGCATTCGAATTCGAATGTACTCGTGCCTCGTGGTGCATCCGAGATTCAGGTTCTAGTTCGTTGATGTCTTGATCAAATGAGAAAGTAAGTATTTAATGTATAATTTATCAATTAATTACTGTGAAACGCTCATAATGCAGTGACTGAAAAAAATCAAACCACTCCTTTCTGCGCTCTGTGGAACATTTGTGGCTGACCTGTGCCTGTCGTAGTTTGCGGACCTCTTTCTAACCTCTCAAGTATAGCATTGGCTGCAATGATTCTTCTAATCTATACATTTATGTTACGTACAGTCAAGTTTTAATTGCATTGTGCTCGCTCTCGATACATCTGACCGTGTTTCAAGGTTAGGTGGCTTCTTATGAACTAGTTGAGACTTTTTGTTTAAATGCCGCATTCCGTAGTTTTGCTTTGTGTCAGATCCCATCAGTCATTCGCACATATCCAACAAAACTTCAATAATGTTTCCAATCATATGGTTTTCAGAAGTTAGCTGTGCAGTTCAGGCAGTGGAAAAGCAAGTTATCATTTCCCCTCTGGTCCAACTGGAAGGCAATCTGTGCTCTGTCTACTGTTACAACACTAAGTGCCGTTTGCAAGAACTCCACGATTGAAATCCAACAAATGCAGCGCTAAATGCTGGTCAAGGTAATTTTTCACTTAAGTAGAAATATTTTGACGAGTCTTCTACTCTTTTCCTGTTCTGCTTCAATATTGTCTCTTTTATCTTGATTTAAAGAAGCCTGCTGCAGTGAAAGGCCGATTGGAAAGTAGTTGCTCTTTGTTTCGTCCCATTGGGAAGGATGCAGCCATTAAGATTCAAGTCAACGGAAAACACAAGGGAAGTATTGTCATAGTTGCCATATCTTTTTTATTAATAGATGCTTGGATCCTTAATTAGTAGGGCGTTAATTCAAGAGTTTTGAACTTGTGGGTCATTGATTCTTATTTATCACCCAACTTGGTCACTCAATGAAAAACTACTGTGAATGACTGCCTTCCAGGCAGACTATCAGAGAGTCTTTCGTTAAGGTGACACACACATCAAATGATTCATTTCTCTGAATGACTTCCTTCCTGGCAGACTATCAGATTGTGTTTCATTGATTTGTTCTATGCAATGAACTTCCACTCTGCATGATTACTTTCCTTGCAGACTACAAACAGATCTTCTGTTGAGGTGACCCCAAGGCTTGGAAGATGAATGCAATTATCATTGTTATGTTCATGACAGTTAACTTTATAAGACTGCAAAAAATTTTTTGCAGGTTTTTCTAAAGCCTAAAGCTTATGATTTAAACTGTGGTGGAGGTCCATCGTAAAACCAGGTATTAAAAAATTTAAGTGACAATTATTGATCTACCAAAATGTTTGTTTTTTCTTTTTGACAGCAAGGCAGCGAGCCAGCATTAGACGAAACAGTTCAGAAAGAGGAAACTGCAATCTTTTTCACCCGACTTGAAAGCAAAACAACAATTTCGATTACAAGTACTGCATATTACTGCATTACAAGCTTTTTGAAGCACAGATTTTGCATCTGAAACGAAGTCAGTGAAACTATCTGCTACTAGAAATCAGGTTTGTATCTTTTCTGCTATCTTTTTAATGAAAACTATTTGTGTGAGAGTGTAAAATCTTTGTTGTTACCCAGGCATCAGCTTATCATCCAATTTTGAACCAACCACTTGGATTCCAATCTTTGAAAACCTGTCCATGCAATTATACCAAGAAGTCTCAAGAGAATTGTGAGGTAGGGAAGTGTAGTGTCATTCTGTAGTACACTTTTTTCTCGTAATGAACCCGCCTCAAGGATAATTTTTCTGTAAGAACTCACTCAATTGTGTGAATGCGGCAACCTTTGCATTGTTTGAAGGATTGTTGAGTTGCATTTACTAATTACCTTTAATTTTTCTTGCATGGATCTGTGTGCAGGCTGGACACATTTCCTTTTCACTTAGATTTGCATTGAAACTTGAGACTTGAAAATTGAGATACATTGGCTTTTGAGGACTTAATTTGATTTAACTGTAACACACAAATAGATGCTTGATAAAGATTTATTTCTGGCAGATATCTGGCTGCAGGGATCCCTCTAGATGAAGGTGTTTGAGGAGGCAAATACTGTGTTCTGCGTTTGTTCTCATACTGCGCCCTAGCTCGCGCCACGATTTCTCATACCCGACTCACTCCTCCTACGTCATCGACACATGCAGAGGCCATGGTTGCATCTTGTCTTTGGGTTGTTTTGATTTGTGAGAAAGAAAGATTCTGAGAGAACCTAAACTCTACATATTGATTAACATTAATGCAAGTCCAAGTGCTTCCAACTGAACGGTTGTTTGTGTCTAGGCTCATGTAACCATGTTTGCTGTTAGGCTTTGCACTCCTAAACGTCCGGTCTAACCTTATCTAAGCATGTTGCCGATGACCTGACTTTGAGGTTAGCTGCTATCATTGATGGCTGTTCAAGTTTCAATTACTTGTCTATTTTCCTTACGATTGTGCATTTGCCTCATGGCAAATGTTTTGTGAAAAGCAACGTATCACAACCTGATTAATAACTTAGTGTTTTGTCTTGCAGAAGTTTGGTGTTTGCCTATGCAACTGGGAGTTGGGTAGAGTTACTATGCATTGCTCAAAATTACAATGCTCCTCCGGTATCCTCAGTTGTCACTGCAGTATTGCACTTCAATGCTGGCAGAGGTATGCTGTTTGTTTGTTTCTAGCTTTAGTTTTGGTTGTGCACCGCAATGTCCTTTCTCCATTGTCTTTAATTCAAAATAATTTTGTTTGTTCTTTAGAAAATTGCTGTGTCCAGCCTACTGAAATGCATGCTAGCTTTCCGGTGCCCATCTGAAACAACACAAATAATACCTGTGTTGTGGTCTCAAATCACTCGAGTGTTTTCTTCAAGTACTGCGCCACTTCAAGTAAGGTACATACCTCTTCTGCCAAATCTTGCGGAATTTGATTCTTGCACTATAAGAAGTAATTCAAGATTTAATTACTGTTTCAAATTGTTACAGGTGCTTGGTGGCCTGTAGTCATGAAGTATTGCCAATGCCTCTTTGTCCTGGTGGACTGAAGTTCGAGACTCTCAGAATTCGACGGCCTTTTATTTTGGGAACGAAGAGGAATGTTGTGCTTGTTTTAGCAATCCAAATTAGCTGCATGTGCCGTTTTGTTTGTATCTCTTTTACCTCGAAGTCAGTTGTGTCGTTGTGGCAAAATACGATAGTTTTAAATTGTTTTTATCTACTCATAAAAGGGCTTAAATTTGCTTCTAATTCCATAGACTATATGACCTCTGAATGACTGACTTTCTGGCAGGCTATCAGGGTGTTGTTTGTTGATGTATGAAGCATTTAAGTATGAATGGCTGCCTCAGTGGCAGCCTAACAGAGTGACTTTTGTAACATGCCTTGAATCCGAATGAGCGACCTCTGAATGACTGACTTTCTGGCAGGCTATCAGGGTGTTGTTTGTTGATGTTCAAAGCATTTAAGTACAAAGAGTAACTACCTCAGTGGCAGCCTGACACAGCGTCTTTTTTATCATGCCTTGAATCTGAATGAGCGACCTCTGAATGACTGACTTTCTGGCAGGCTATCAGGGTGTTGTTTGTTGATGTATGAAGCATTTAAGTATGAATGGCTGCCTCAGTGGCAGCCTAACAGAGTGACTTTTGTAACATGCCTTGAATCCGAATGAGCGACCTCTGAATGACTGACTTTCTGGCAGGCTATCAGGGTGTTGTTTGTTGATGTTCAAAGCATTTAAGTACAAAGAGTAACTACCTCAGTGGCAGCCTGACACAGCGTCTTTTTTATCATGCCTTGAATCTGAATGAGCGACCTCTGAATGACTGACTTTCTGGCAGGCTATCAGGGTGTTGTTTGTTGATGTATGAAGCATTTAAGTATGAATGGCTGCCTCAGTGGCAGCCTAACAGAGTGACTTTTGTAACATGCCTTGAATCCGAATGAGCGACCTCTGAATGACTGACTTTCTGGCAGGCTATCAGGGTGTTGTTTGTTGATGTTCAAAGCATTTAAGTACAAAGAGTAACTGCCTCAGTGGCAGCCTGACACAGCGTCTTTTTTATCATGCCTTGAATCTGAATGAGCGACCTCTGAATGACTGACTTTCTGGCAGGCTATCAGGGTGTTGTTTGTTGATGTATGAAGCATTTAAGTACAATGAATGACAATTCAATAACTGCCTCTGTGGTGGATGAAGTTTGTTTTGTAAGCGTAATTATAGTGTGTTTAGTTGCCATGCTGTTTTAAAGATAAATCATTTTGTATAAATTTCTGGTCAAAATTGAATTTAGGTATCTTTTGTTTTAAGTTTTTTACTCCTCTCTTCTTCATATTTAAAGGTAAATTTTGCTCAATATTTCAGGCAGACTCCTGCACTTATTAATGTTCTGACTATTCATCTGTAACTAAGGTTTTTCTTTCTATTTTGCTGCCACTTACAGTACCAGAATGTTCTGAATTTCTTACTAGTTGACTCTTCAGATACCTGTCAGTATTTAAATCTGTTGATTTTATATAGTCCTTTTGATCATTTATTATAATTAACTGTATGTAATCTTTCATTCACAGGTGTAGAAATAATATGTTGAAGTCATCAGCTGTTACAGTTTGATCACGAGAAATGACTTTTTAAGAGTCAGTGCACCCAGCAATCCAGCGAGCTTTACTGAAATTAGTGTGTCACAGTCAGAAACAGGTAACACGGAAATGTATGGGTGCAAAGAACCTGCAATTATGTACTTATTTTTAAGGTGAACAGAGGCATTTTAAGTTTCCTTGATTTTGTTTTTCTGCTTTCTAGTTGTTAGCTGTTCAAAGCAATCTCTAGGGGTCAATGGGGTTGATCTGCAGTCCACACTTCGTGAGTCCCAGCCATGTTAACCCTTCACTGTTGACACAACACTTAATACTGATTTAGGTAATAGTGATGATAATAATAATAATAATATAAATAATTTCAATAGCAATGCTGTGTTTTGTCCTTACTGGGATATTTTAATAATGGTTTGATTCTTTGGGTTACAGAACTTGGCAGCAGTCGAGGCCATGATCTCCACGAAGGTCCAGCCAGGAAGGAAGCTGTGCTTTAGTATCTTGTCAACGCATTTGATGCTGCGATGGTGATTGTGTTAGTTTTAATTTATCAATTCTATATCTCACCACAACTGACTGCAGTGGTTTGTGCATTAAGTGTCTTGGTTGGAAGTATTCTTATCATTTCTCGGCGGGCACCAGGAGGTATCTTTAGTTTTTGTAACAACACATGCTTAAGAATACATACAGGATGCTTGCCTTCTTGGTGAGTTCCCGGAGGTATCTTGAGTATGTTAAGTTTTTGCATACACTCATAGCTTGCTCGTCATGGCTGCTCTAGGTGGCGCGGCAAAGTTCGCAATGCCCCTGGTCGGCATGGTCTTAAGATTACATACAGGATGCTTGCCTTCTTGGTGAGTTTCCGGAGGTAACTTAAGTTTCTTCAGTCATGGCTCTAGGTGGCGTGGCAAAGTTCACAATGCCCCTGGTCGGCATGGTCTTAAGATTACATACAGGATGCTTGCCTTCTTGGTGAGTTTCCGGAGGTAACTTAAGTCTCTTCAGTCATGGCTCTAGGTGGCCTGGCAAAGTTCACAATGCCCCTGGTCGGCATGGTCTTAAGAATACATACAGGATGCTTGCCTTCTTGGTGAGTTTCCGGAGGTAACTTAAGTCTCTTCAGTCATGGCTCTAGGTGGCCTGGCAAAGTTCACAATGCCCCTGGTCGGCATGGTCTTAAGAATACATACAGGATGCTTGCCTTCTTGGTGAGTTTCCGGAGGTATCTTAAGACTCTTCAGTTTTTGTACACACACATGCTTAAGAATACATACAGAATGCTTGCCTTCTTGGTGAGTTTTCGGAGGTATCTTGGGTGAGTGCATGTACTTAATCAATACATACTTATACACAAGAAAACACACACAAAGTTTGCCCTTTGAGAATACTTCCTCTTGTTTCTTTTTGTCTTAACTTCTGGAACGCTGTTTTTTGTGAGTCTGACTTCATGAAACTTCTGCAGATGATGTCATCCACATGAAGGATTTTTCTGAATCTTACCCCTAATGCACTCCTAGGCATGAGACGAAGGTGGAGAACATCTCTTGCTGTAAATCATCTTTCAAAGGTTGGTAACTACAAGTTTTTTGTCATACCTTTTTTTTTTAAAATAGTAGACCAAGAAAACCACACCAGTAGCTTGCCATTTTCTAAGTATATTTATATATTTGTGGTTTTGTGTTGTCTTATGCTTTACTTCTGGCTTTTTAGGCGTTTTGCTGCTGTCCTGGTTCGAAGTCTCTGTTGACTACCACTTTCGATGTAGTCACGATTCCACTATCTCTTACTTCACCTGAACCTGAATCACTGAACAGCCTGCCCATCATGTTACTTGGTAAGAAGTTAATTCATGCTGAGGAACTTTTATTTAAGAGAAGCAGACCCATCAGGTTCTTGTGAGCCTAAATCTAATTTATCATTTATTTGACAAATCTGCAACCCTGTACGTTAGATGGAATGTGAATTAATTGATGACAACAGTTATTATCACTAAACCATTAGCACAGTCCTTTTTTTATATTACCGTAAAAAGGACCAATGAAGTATGTGTGCGTACTGCAGTATTAAAGTGGTTTCTGAACCTCTTCTTAGATTAATGACCAACTTAGAGCATGCAGTCAACTATGCAGTCCAACTGGATGGTACAAAGCAATTAGTTATCTGAAATGCTCTCAGAGAAAACTTACAATCTTCAAGACGCTTCCTCAAATTTAAAAAATTTACTACTTGCTTGGGCAAGTCCCAATTATTAAATTGACAGACGATATCGTGTCACCTCGAGAGATTTCTAGTAGATTGTTGTCGCCTATCTGTAGACGAGGTCACATCAGTCTCAGCCTTTTGTTTCTATTTTCTGGCAACTCATTTTAAACTGTGGACAGCTGTCGTGTGTGTGAAATTTATTTCTTGTACCTGTATAGAAACATCTTTTGGGTATGACAAACCATTTCTTCTAGGTTCCCATAATGAAAAGCTGATTTTACAGCCAAAATTAGGATTTGATACATCAATAAGTGTCTCTCTCTTCCCACAACGGATGCACATGTTAAAGAATAGTCTACGCCATGGGTCGAGTTTGGGAGAAGCCCTCTGCTCCATGAGTAGTTGACATTCAACTGCCATTTAGTTTTGATTTTCATAATTTTTGGATTTTTTATAAGCTTTTGTTAATTTTTCTTGAAGAGGGACAATACAATACTCCTGTCAACAAATATAGTTGAAGGTTGTTCCATGAACATCGGTCTGAAGCCCTTCTTCCCACCATCATTGTTCCCCCCATTGTTAACCTGTTTCATAATAATTGTGAATGTGCAAAGGTTTATTTACCTCTAAATTCTGACAGGAAATGATTGTTCTTAATTGACAGTTATACTGATCAGTTGCTTTCTTTTTCTTTTAATGGTCGGAATGATTCAACTTTTCCCTCCCTGTTTAGACTTCAATTCTAGTTCAGGTTGCACATTAATTAACCAATTCAATGTATAGTTGCTGGTGTCTGTCTTTTTTTTTGTCAGGTTCCAGCACATACTGTGTCTAACATATTTCCTTTGTCACAGCTTTGGGACAACATGGAGCACCATTGACTTGGCCAGGCGCACTAAAAATCAGACCACCTGATTCGTTACAATTGATGTTTCATGTTCAACATTTTACCTCAATAACTCCTGAGGATGTTAGTGACAAGTTATTATTCGAACTGGTAAGCATGTTTGATTGGTTTTGTTGTTGCACAGTACAATCTAAAATATCCCACTAAAGTATTGTTTTTCTTTTTAATTCAGATATAATTGCTGTGTCATGCAGACATAAAGCAAATAAACAGAAGAGCAGACGGTGAGAAGTCGATTATTTTATTAGAGCTTGAGACTGAGAAGCACTGTACATCAAGAAAGTGTCTGCAAAACAATGAGTAAAACTCATACTTGTGAAGCCAAAAAAAGATAGGGTATCTTAGTGTGTTAGTTCAGTATTGGAGAGATTTCCTTATCTTATTGTCAACTAGTGTTGGAAGTGTAAGCCAAGGTGAGGTGTGGGAGAAAATTTAGGCAAAAAGTGGAAATGAGTAACTGATTAAATTGATTTCCTTGGTATTTTAGAGTTAAATATCCCTCTACAGACTTCCAAAAGTCTGAAGTTCCAAAAGTCTTGTTCCTGAACTCTTAAGTGAGTGTTAAGTGTGAAATGGACTGATATGTATGCGCCTTTTTTCTATTCGATCAAGTGGCCACACATTTAGTTTGGTTGCATACTGGCCGAACTTCTTAAAGTAGTTATTTGCCAAAGTCTCTTGTATTTTATCTTGGGGCAGTTTCAAGTAACAGTAGCCTCCCTGGTCTGTCTTTGAAGCTGATATTAAAACATGTCTCTGTGAACAAATTTCTCTTAACAAACTTCTTATCTATGTTAAATGCTTTGAGCCCGGTTAGTTGAATTTTGCAACAGTGCCTTTATAGTTGAGCAATTGTTGCTCATAGCAACTCAGATTCGGATGTTCATTGTTAAATCCTGCTTGATAAAGTTCATGCCAGAACCCGATTCGATCCATGATAATATTTTGAAGTCAAATGCAAATCTTACTTTGTCTTGTAACAAGTGTCTTGTAACAAGACTCAACTGTGTAAGTGAAAATCTTAATAGATGGAACTCGTTCAAAGTGCTGCAGCCCAATAACTACTCTTGCTTTTTTTTATTCGACTTTAAATGTATCTTAGAAAGTGCCAAAACGGTGAGTTGTGAGTACCCACAGCCACTTTTGTTGCTTTTTCTCACTGAAAATTGAAATACTATGCGCCCCTTTTCAACCAAAGAGTAGGTCATTCTATCTAAAATGTAAAAAGGAATGGGAACAATACATGACCTGTTATGTAAAGCGTTCAGTTCAGGTCTCTATTTCTTAGGTCTTGCATCTTTGCTGCATATACTAAGGTTAGATTGACGTAAAGGAATGAAAAGATTCACCAAGACATGAAAGTCTGTCATTCTGACTACTTTAAATGTCTTCTTATCTCTTATCGAGTCTCATCAAAGTTGATTTAAGACTCCTCTTACAAGACCATGGTAGGACTCCGTAATCCTTAAATCCTTAAATTCACTGAAAGATTTTCCAACGGCAATACATTTTGCAGCAATGTTTTGGAAATTTGTATCATGATCCTGACCTTTGAGACATTTTTCCAGTTTTCAAACTTGAATCTCTTTTGTGAGAGAGAACATATCTCTAAAAACCATGGCTTTTGATGGATTGCGGGCGTGTACTTGGAGAAAGAATCGCTCAATTAATCTTTGTATTTATTTCTAATAGGCAAGGGAAGTTGAATCTGTTTCCTATTCAAGTATGGAAAAAAGGCAAGGACATTTAATCTTAGTGTGTCTGTTAAAGGTGCATTGGTTGAAAAAATTCTCATCTGAATTCTTGTTTTCTATATTTTTGGCTCCTCCAGAACTATTTTGTAAATATGGAAGTAACTCATTTAGAATCGGAAAGGTGTGGTTATTGTATTTATTTTTAGACTAAGTTAAAAATAAAGAAATACATGTGGAGGAAGGTACGTCAGACAGCCTTACAGGCAAGTGGAAAGGCCTGTGGTATCCGTTTGTTAAATTATTTCTCTGTATCACACAAAGAGTATACTCATAAAATGTTTGTTAGGCTCGAGGCACTGCTTAGGCTCGAGGATAAAAACCTTCAGAGGTGTTTTTTTCACCACACAGTTTTTTCTTTGCCCCCTTGCGGCTTCAATTGTTAGCAACTAAATACTGGCAAACCGCCGGTTTATGAGCTGGAGTTTAGGTTAGCCGATAAATAAAATCCACACTGCCTAAAGTAAAATCGACACTGCGCGCGCCATCGGTATTGGAGGGGCGGGCCCCTGCAGGGTAGGCACGACTGCTACACATCCGTTGCGCGGGCTTGCCTACCCTCTCGACTGCAGGGGCTCCACCTGGGTCCAAATGGTTACTTTTCCCTGTCTTCATATGATGAACCGATCAGGTACAAGCTAAGTGTGAAGGGATCTTGGCTTGCTTCACAAAATGCACATCATGTCCAAGTTTATTTACATTAAAGTGAAATAAAATTTTGTCTCTGGAGTGTTCTGTTCTTCCTTCATCAACACTTTCCCCTATCTCATACTAGTTTGGCTGCTTGTCAGAAAATAACTTAAAAGAAAAGGAAATATTCTTGTTTGTATTTTTATGGTGGAACAGCCCTGAAACTACAATCAACCCCAAAGTGATTTGCAGCTTTCTACGTTGAAAATGAAATAATAGCTTGTGACATTAAATTGAGACCGGACCACAGGTGATATCATTTTAATGGCCGGTGTTCAGGAGACAAATCTTCCCTCTTTATTCAGTTTCACCATAGAGAGAATGTCAGGCAGAGATTGCGCAGATATGAGAATGTGACTGCCTAGCCTTCTTTCAGTTCAGTGTCTTTCGAGGCATCGCATTTAAGAACGGTCCCTGCTGGACCACGTGATAGTTTGCCTACCGCGTTGATTCAAACGCGCCGTGGACCCCCGCATTCGGCGGTCAGTTCGTTGTCGGTCAGTTTGGTGCTCGGTCAGTTGATGTGCCCCCCCAGCGCCGCCTGCGCCGTGTTTGTCCAGGACTCTGCTTGTCCAGCGCGCTGTCCTGCTCCTCCAGGCCACTGGCTGGACTTCTGCCTGGACAGGCCGGACCAAATTAGCCCCACATGTGCCGGGGAGCAATCGGCCTGCTGGCCGGTCCGCTCGGCCGAAGGGGAGCGAGCAGGCCTGCCTGGCCCTGCCTGGCCCTGCCTGGCCCTGCCTGGCCCTGCCTGGCAGCGCCCCGGAAGGAATGCGAAAATGAGAGACAAACCCGAGGCCCCCCGCGTGGAGGGTGGAGGCCGGCGCCGAGGGGGTGGACACGGCGGAAGGGGTGGAGGGAGGGGAGGGGGTGGATCCGATCGAAAGCAATACAGCGGCAAAAGGGAAAGTGGACGGGGAGTAGGCAACGAGGCAACGCGGCCCTTAAATTGGTGAC